AAAAAAAAAAAAATTAAAATCACAATATAAACTTTAAAAAATTAATTTGAAAATAATCTTTGTTTATTAATCATCAAGTTATATAAGTTATGTTTATAATTTTGATTATCAAATTTAAGTTTTGATTATTAAATTTTAGTTTTGATTATCAAATTTGGATTTTGCTTATTAAATTTAAGTTTCAGTTATAAAAATTTCAATTATAAGATATAACTTTTAGATTTTAAGACTTATCTTTAGTTATAAATAATACTTTCTATTAATATAAGGTTTGTTATTTTTTAATTTATAATAAAAACAAATATACTTATATATTTATTTATTATTATTTTTTTTTTGTTACAAACAAACATTAAATGTAAGACATTTATTAAACATAAGTTTATCATCAATACATTAAGAATCCTATACCACCTTATTTGGTGAAAGTTAATTCTAGCCTATTGTATGAAAAAACCTTTAATTCGTAAGAACACCAAGTAAATAGTAACAAATTATCGGTGGTCCATGAATGGCTAATACCTATTCATAAATAGCTAAGTTAAGACAGGTGGGAATATTTTTTTTAGTAATATAGAAGATTTTTTAGGAATTTAGTCTTGATTTGGTAAATTTTTGTTAAGTCTTTGTGTAATATTATTGTTGTTGTCATTCCTAACAGGTTAATACCGGTTTGGTTCTTGTTGGATTGAAGTGTCAGAATTGGATTAGCTGTTGGGATTGTGTAGATCATTTAAAAGGGTTGAGCTGGTTTTGATTTTTGATTTTGAGAAAATTTTTAATGTCGTTGAGATGGCGCAGTAAAGCGTATCATGTTGTTATTTGAAAAGGTTTGATTAAGACAAGTAGGAAGACCAAAAACTTTACTTGAATGTACTTTTAGAAATAAATTGGCGAAGTTGAGGATAGTGAGAAGAATGGTTATCATAAGAATAATAAAGGAGAAGGTGCATAAAGACAAAGTTAAGAAGGAGAACTGCCACAAGCCTTTTCTCATATAACCAAAGAACAAGCAAGACTCTCAAACTTGTTTGGCCTTTGACTAGAGGTCTTATCCCAATGCAACAGTGGTCCTTAAAGTTCTTATGTCCTTGAGCTTATGGCATACTTGGTATATTGAAGAGAGAGAGGAAAGTGTTTCTTTCAAGAAAATTACTATAAAAGGAAATTTTTAAAAAATCAGTGATGAATGGGTGAGAGTTTTTTTTTTTTTTTACTTATATATTTATATTATATTTATATTATAAAAAATATAATTTAAAATATTCTTAATTAATTATACTAAGTAAAAAATTAAAATTTTATTAGAAAATTTTAAACAATTAATTTTAAATCTTTTATTTAAAATTTCAATATAAAAAATCATAAAAAATTTAGTATATATATATTTAAAGTAAAAAAATTATTTACTTATAATACAAGTTAAAATTTATATAATTAAATTATTAAAATTTTAATAATTAAAGTTATTTTTTACAAATAATTCTATAAAACTGCTCTTAAATTATATAAACTTTAATTTAAAAATTTTAAATTTGTCTAAGATCAACTTTTATTAAAAAAAATTATTTTAAAAATTAAAAATTATACTTATAATTAAACTTTAAATTTTTATTAAATAAATTAAAAAATAAATGATGTCAATAGATAATATATAATTAAAATCAATATTATATAAATTTTTATAAAAAATAAATAAAAAGTAACTTTTTAATTAAAAATTTTAAGTATTATAAAAAAATATTTTATAATTTAAGGAATAACTATCTTGAATATTTTTTATTAACAATAAATTAATAAAAATTAAACAATTTATTCAGCTACAGATAATAATAAAAATTTATTCTAATAAATTAAAATTAATTTTAAAAAGTTTTTATTTGTTAAAATAAAATTTTCAATTATTTTTATTTTTATTTTTTTATTTCCTAGAACTATAAATTTATATTGAAGTAATATTTTGAATATAAATTAATTTTGATCTTTCAAGACTAAAATTTTAATATCTGATTTTTTTAAAAAAACAATTTTTATTATTCTTTATAATTATATCTAAAAAATCAATAATTAAAATTTAAAAAATTTAATATTATATAATAATAACTTAATAAAAAAATTTTTTATAATAAAATAATTAATAAATAACTAAATTATATAGACAATATAGTGGTTTTGATATTAAAAATTTAAGAATTAGATACAAGTTTATAAATAACTTGTAATGGATATTTTGTAAAATAAAATAATTAAACTTTAATATAATATCATATTATATGTTATATTATTGTTTTCTATAATTAGATTAATAAACATAAAAATTTGTAATCTAATTAGAGGTTAAATAAATAATAAAAAATAAGATTGTATTTATTTTTTAAATTTGAATTTATTATTATTTATTAAATTATATAAATAAAATATGATTTTTATATATTATAACATTTAAATAATTTTTTTAAATAAAAATATTGACTGATTAATTGTTTATTTAATTGTTAAAAATATCAAATAAAAATTTTCTAATCTAAGTAGTTGTATAGAAATGACAATGACAATTTTTTTTTTATAATTAATTTTACAATATGAAAATTTAACAAAGAAAATAAAAACTGTAAAATGTTCTGTGAAACTCGAATCATCATTGCTATTATCAAAATAATTATTTTGTATCATAATTATCCTAAACAAATGATTTTTATCTGCAAATACAGTATCTGAATAAGATATATAGGCATATTGCTTTGTTTTGTTTATTTTCCGTGAGACATAATTATGTTTGTTATTACTAATTTTTTTTCCAAAATTTCATATGATCTTCTAAAGTTGAATCGAATATTTTGCATTACGGGGTATCAAATAAGAGTGCACGTGTCGAAAATACAATTTAAAAGCAATCATATGATCCCTCATATGATGTATCCTATTTCATTATTCTTTTGCTAAATAAAATAAATAAAATGAAATCATACACAAATAAAGATGTCAATGATAAACCAAAGGAGCAAGAGGTAAAAGGAGAGCGATCGAATGAAGAAAATTCAATCCTGAGATAGATATTGTTATGGTTATTATATGACCGCATTAAATTTTTAGGGAAACTTATCTTTTTTTTAAGCAAATGAAGAGCGCAAATTCTCATGCAGTGTTCGTGCATTAGCGAAGCGAATAATGATAAAAATAGAACCATAGATAGACTTATACTTTTATGGAATAAATGAATTAAAAAAAATTTTTTTTGTTAAGTTCTTAAAATCACACAATTATTTATTCTTTTGGCGTCTAATGTAAGTGTAGGGTACATTAATATTGTGTCATATTTGGTCTAGACGTTCTGTGAAGACGCGAAATACACGTGATGAAACGCGTACTCAGCTATCATAACGAAACTTTTTGATCACGATCGTCATTATGTAATTTGATTTCTCATTCTCCGACCATAATATCGAGTAGTAAAGTTAAAATTAAATACGGCTGAAAAAAGACTTCACGTATAAATGATCCAGTTCGTTAGATATAAAATTGAGACTTACATAAACGTAAAAGAACAGGCAGATATGAATATATTTAAGAGTGAATATAATAATAATGATGATGATGGTAATAATAAAGAGTATATTTATATTCTACTATCTTCTACCTATTGTGTAAAAAAAAAATTATACGTAGTTTACCATTAAATCGGTGATTTTGATGACAAACCCACTATAATAAAACGAGAACCCGTCCTAAACTAATATGACCTATGAATACCCATCGAGCGTGAAACTAAAATCCACCCTTCCATCCATAAATAAATAACAGATTGAAATAAAAATAGAAAAAAAAGTACATACAAGAAGTGTCCGTTCAGAAGCAAACGCATACACAATCAATATATATATAAATTCAGAGAAGAGGTGTGAAAAAGTTCTGCCCAAGTATACAAAAAAAAAAACGAGGTGTTTACAATTAATAGGAAATAGGTTAAATAAGGAATGAAAACTATTGTAATTCTTATTCAAAGTGACAGACAACTATCGAAGGAAAATCAACAAATATGTACAAATTTGATTCACCTCTAGTGATCAAATTAAATTGCCAAAAATCTCTTTGAATATTACACTACACTCGGTAGATCTTCAGTCAACTATACACCAAATCAAAGATTTTCCGTTTCTCAGCATTCTTGAAATTATTTGCAACCGCTTAGCGCTAGATGATCCTCGCAAGGGCACATCTAACCTTGTTCATCATTAATACTGTTGGATACATTATTAACCTTGATTCGATGCAAGTATTTATAAATAAAGAAAAATCACCAGCAGTAAAAAAAGATAATTAGATGAATATAAGGCAGTATGCATAAAGAAATGAATTGAGTTGATTACAAAACGTCAATAAAAAAAAACATAATATATCATTTTAATCCAGTAAAGTTATTATTACTGGTCTGAATCTAAAGATTATGATATCAAATTATTACTACCCAAGGAAGGTGTCTGAGGGGATCCATCAAGACTGCTACTTGATAATGATGACGAATTCAAATCGGATCTTTTTGCAGAAGAACCCCCTGAGGTACCTTCCATGGAAGTTCTAGGTGCTGACATGTCTCTTACCCTAGCCTCCAACTCTGAATTTCGTAAACGATGTTCTTCTAATAATCTATTGTTTTCTTGTAACAATCGTTGGAGATCACGAATATAGTCAACAGATCTGCGAAGGATGACGCCTTTATTTGGTTTGTTTGTAGAATCAATATACATTTCTGGCAAGAGAGTCGAAAGTTCTGCAATTTTTTCATTTATATTATCTCGTCTTCTACGTTCAACTAATTGAAATTCATAAATTAATCTTGACACCTTGCGACACAACCTCTACAGTCTCAGTTAATTTCTTTGTTTACCTGCATTGTGTGACTCTCTACGACGTCGTCTTTTCTCGGATAGCATCGCCCTATAAAAAAATTTCGGGTCAGAACATGTTGATATTAATCTATTTTTCAGCTAGCTAGCTCTTAACCGTTGAACGAATATTCAAAACATGGTTACACAAAACATTATTAAAGAATACGTACTGTTTATGATTATCAGCTTCGTCAGCATCTAGATAATTAGACATCATCTGTAAGTCGGTACCAGAAGAATACGGAAGAGATCCTGGCTGAATTTGTTCAACACTTGTGCCATAAGGCCAGCTACCAACAGGCAATGACATGCTAATTTGACCGTTGTAAATGTTAATAGGTTGTTGTCTGTTACCAATGCGGCTAGGTTTGACGTCCACCGGAATAGACGTGGGAGCGCTCATTGGACTAAATTCGGTGTCCACAAAGTAATCATTATTGTTATCATGACTCGGAGAAGCACCACCAATACTTTCAAGGTGACTAGAGGCCCTGTAGGACTGAGGAAAATCTTCTGCATCATACCCAGGTAAATTATTGCGAGGAGAACCGAAAGGAGAACCAGAAACAGGTGAAATCACTGAATAGTCCATTTCTGTCCGAATATCATAAGAACCTGACTCTTGCTTTATATGTTCCATATATGACGACTGTTGTAACGTTTCCGGATCTAGTGTGTTATGAAATGAACCAGCCGGAGTTGGTGGAGAACATTCATCGTTGTTGAGGGTCTGTCTACGTCGTTCAGTTTCTTCCAAATGATATCGAGTGGGATGTGATAATAAGTGCTGCGTTTGTGGAATCGGTTGTTGGCCTGTAACATAATTGCTTTGGCCATAAAAGCCGTTACCCAACTGTCTACTCATTTCCAAGTCTCTGCACTGTGCTACCCCTTCGTAATATTATATATACGATGCCAAAAGTTATTTAATAAAAAAATAGTAGGGTTGGAGTTTGATTTTCTAAAGGAGTATGATAAGCAGTTAAAAAAAAAAAAAAAAAAAGTACGTAATGTATTTGGATATAAAAGATCAAGTCGGGAGAATAGTTACGCAGTAGTTACGCCAAAATGCAGGCAAAAAATACGTACCAGAAAAATTGTGGAGAATGCAAAATCCAATTGTTTGGATATATATAGTATATATTATTATGTTATTCTGCTAATGATATCATCTCGGACATTTCGGATGTTTTAAAAATCACTGGATGTGACTAGGCTGGGTACAAATTTTAAAGTTCATTATTTTTGATGCCCCCGTAAATGGCTTTAATTCAGATTCCAACTATAAGAGAGAATATTAAAATTAAACAAATCAAGCGGCATTAATTAATTATTAAATTAAAGTAACAATAAAAATGCATTTAATAAATAATCTTTATCACTAACGCTTTCACAATGTGAATAATAAATATGGATTTTTCAAGATTTTATTTTTACTCTCACTTGTAAACAATCCACTGGATCTTTTCCGCAATATAAAAAAGTAATCTATTGAATTTGAAAAAATTAAAAATACGATTATTTAATAAAATAAAGTTATTTGTAAATTTAATTTAATTTTTTTAATTTTTTTTTAAAAACACATTTTCAAAATATTTAATTAATTTATTAATATTTATACAAAATTATTATTATTATTTTAACTTCACAATTAAACTAATATATATATATATATATTTTTAAGAATCAAAGTATGATACAAATTAAACTAATATTGTTTATTTATTAAATTTTATAAATTATTATCAAAAAATGATGGATTGGTTAGATTTACCTAGGTAACCAATAAGCCTATTGAAATAATATAGGAATCAAATATTATTCTAATTATAGTTTGTACTTTTCTTGAGTTATTAACAATGAAAGATTGATAATGGTTTACCATTTTTTAATAAAATAAACCATTTTTTAAAAAATATATATATATTTAATCTAGCTTATTTATTAATAATACAAGATTTTTAAATATAATTTATAAAAATAATAAATTATATATTTATTAAATAAAATTAAAAAAATTTTAATAAAAGACTTGTTAAATTAATTATTATTATTATTATTACCAAGTATAAAAACTTTATTTAAAATAGGATTTTCTAATTATTTTCTCTTATTTTTAATAATTAGTTAATAAGTTTTAAAAAAAATTAATACTAATTATATTAAATAAAAATTTGGTTTTTTTTATTTAAAATAAAAAGTTATTTCTATTAATATTATATTTATAAAATTTTTATTTCAAATTCTATTATATATAAATTAATTTTAATAATTTAATTATAAAAACTCAAATTATATAAAATAAAACATTTAATTAAATTTATTAAAACTTGAATTACAATTAAATACAAAAATTTTTGGACTAATTTTAGTTTTTATTTATTTATTTTTTTGGAGGGATTTCCTCTCATAGGTAAGCATCATTTCTTTATTTGATATTGTATATAACATGGTATACATTGTAAAAAAAACAACATCTCTTATGTACATATGTAGCAAGTTAAATGCTAGCCTGCCTATGCGAACACATCTAACTAATATTGAAAAAGAAATTCAAAACAATACTATATACT